TGACTTAATGGTGTGATTTCGCAGTTCTTCCAGTAAATTGTCTGTCACACATTTTCTTCAGTGGCAGAAATAGCATTTTCCTTTGTTTGAAAAAAAAAAAATGCTGGAGCGTTTAAAACTCTCTGTTCTTTCCTTGAGCAGGAAGACCAACAGTTACATATATAAACTCTTCCATTCCCTCTAATGAATGGCTGGTTCTAAGCTATTGACGACAGGTGGTTTTGTTGTTCTCTTGGTACGGTCTGTATATTTAACGTTATTATTTAACAATATTTTAATATTTTGTTTCGGTGAAGGACAAATTATCTTCGTGCAACCTAAGTTGAAGTGTTGTGTTGAAAGCTTTCTCAGACTGTTCTCAGGGGTGTTCTTGAGTTATTCACCAAGGGTAACTGTGGTGCACTGGCAACATCTTCCTAAAATAGTGCATTTAAAGTCCGGCGGCAGCTACACAACCGTTTTAGAGCGACATTATCTGTTGAAAGTTTAGGGGTGAAACTTTCAAGAGCCAAACATATTACGTGTACTTAGCAAGAGTGTGTGAAAATGCACAGACAGGAAGGATGGAACCCAGAAAATGATTTGCCCACTGAGAGTTGTAGGTGGTGGTCAGGGAAGCCCAGCCTGCAACATGGGACACTTGCTGACTGCTGGCATGTGCCTCTCTTCTGCACATTCCAAATGCGTCGCTCTTTCCTGTCATTGCTGTGAGTTATTTATAATTCACCTTTATTTCTCAGCCTCCTTCTAGTCAAAGCCAAGAAAAGAGCACTAAAATGAAGGAGGAGGAAGGTGGGCCTGAGAGTGAGGTAAGCTGTTGCTATGGAAATAATGTAAAATACGACTTGTAATTTAAATATGCTTATACAGTTAATTGCCCAAGATCTTTAATTAAAACATAATTGCTATTTTGGGCCACAGTAGTATATTTAAAACCTTGCTAGCTTTAGATGCAAGTTGTCTTAACTTTGAGATGAGCTAGACAGTCAGCTGTATTTAAGTGCTGTTTTGTCTAAGTTGAGATAGCCCAGCTGTTCTTTTGTGTTAAAGAAATTAGCTACTGTATAAATCATCAAAATAGCATGTTTCCAGCATAAATACTTGGCAGGAGCTAAGGAGGAATACCTGGCCTCAGAGGGGTCAGTCTGGTTGAGATCAGACAAACAGGAAGGACAGTAGAGAACAAAGGAGTGTGGTGTATAAATAGGTGCTGAATCAGGGGACTGTGCACACACAGGTGTTAAACATGTAGTGTAGGGAGACATGCTAGTTAGACAAGGTGGGCTCTGAGCTGGACCCTGAGAGCTAAGAAGGAGGAAAGAAGTGACTGGAAGGAGATTTGGAAATGACCTGTGGTGTGCAGAGTATGGGTGAGACTTACTGGAGGTTGAACAGTTAGAACAAAGTGGGCTGTGTATGTTCACTTTCTTGTATTCTGATGACTTTCAGGTGAAAAATCAACCAAATTTCATAAAGGAAAGGTTGAAGCTTTTTGAAATATTGAAGAGAGACCATCAGCTCTTATTTGCCATTAATGACAGAAAGGGGAATACAAGCAATGTGATCACAGTGAGAGTGGCTGATGGGAAAACAGTGGAAGGGGAAGTTTGGAAAACAACACCTTATCAAGTAGCTGCTGAAATTAGGTAAACCATAATTTGGAGAAGATATTCTTTATTCAGTATTGTGCCAGCGCTTGGTAACACTGTGTTCTCAGGGGCTGTGAAAAGTGTTTTTTTTCTTACTCAGTTGAATAAATTAATGGGTTTTTTTTTTGTTTGTTTGTTTTTTTGAGAGAGAGAGAGAGAGAGAGAGCGAGCAGGGGAGCGGCAGGGGAGGCACAGAATCCTAAGTAGGCTCCAGGCTCTGAGCTGTCATGAACCACAAGTTCATGACCTGAGTTGAAGTCGGACGCTCAACCGAATGAGCCACCCAGGCACCCCATTCAGTTGAATAAATTAAATGTCATTAGTTATTTCCCTCTGGCTTCTAAAGAGGGCATTTAAATAAGTAATTGAATATCAGAATAAAACCTCTTCCTCTTTAAAATGTCCACATTTTAAAGTTCTGATAAAAATATACAGTAGAGAAAAACGTTTAATCCTTGACAGGTCCCATTACATTGACGTTGGTCATCAAGATTTTACCATGAGATTTTACAGATCTTTTGCTGGACTTGATTTCAAGTCAAGTTATTGTCTCACCAGTAAATAACCATGGGTGGTTCTTCAAACTAAGTGGGGCAGATCTTTCCAAGCCTGTTTCCTTACATCTTCTGTGGAAATGTTACTTTTCCCATTTACCTAATGAGGTTGTTAAAATTAACTGAAATACTGCATATGTAAAATACTCTGAAAATTAAAGTGCCTCCAGAAATGTACAAAATGACTTACATACAGATTGAAGATGTATGTGAGGGTGTATGTATAAACCCTGGAATAAGTACTTTGACTTTCCTAGAAATTAGATACATTAGTGAAGTTATGTTATTTTGACCAATGTTAATTCCTACCATTAAATATAATTCCATGGAAGCTAAAGCTCAAAACTGCCATGTAAATCAACTTGCTATATAAAAAGCAAGTTTTTTCAACAATTGAAGTACTCAGATTTCCTTTGAAAACTATGGTTAAGATTGTGTGGGTTTTTTTTTTTCCCCATCCTATCATGTCCTGTACTCTGCAGCCCCCTCCCAACCTGTTCCCATGTTTTTCAGGCTCTCCATGAATAGATGTGCTGGGAAAATGGGCTTTGAGGCAAAATAAGTTTATGTTTCTTCATGGAGAGTCAGTTTTCATGTTAGCATATTGGAGACTGAGAAGTCCTACACTGAAAAAACCAGCTCAAACTTGGGAAACAAAGTTACTTGATTATAGAAGATGTTCTTTGTTGTAACCTTAATAATATGCATTTCTGCAGGGTACCAGTTTACAACCCCTACAATCAAGTTTCATGATAGAGGGGTTGCAAGAGTGCCCAAAAGTAAAGTTATCCCAAACTAAAAGATTAACCAAAGCTTGTATCAGGCAAACCTGGTAAGAAGAAAGCAGTGATCATAATATTACTATCAGACCTCAGAATTTCAGGGCCAAAATCATCACATGGGATACTGGGACTTATTTCCAAAGTAGACAAACAGTATAATCTGTAATAACTATTCGTCATGAACCTTTTTGAGTTACATAATGTAGCATCAAATCAGAAATAGAAAATTATAGACACTCAGGAATGGTATACTTTTAACCTGCCTTTCTCAGTTCTGAAAAGATCATGTGTCTGAATAGTAACACTGTAAGGTAGACTTAGTGGTTGCTCACCAGTCGCTGTGGTCTATAGACAGAGATCTCTCAGACCTGTGGTCATGTTTTTGGTTCCTCAGAACCTTAATAAAAAAATGCAGAAACATACCGTTCACAGTCAATGAGTAAAATGATACCAGTTATGAACTCAGTAAACATTGAATGACAAGACAAAACAGAATAAAACTTGAAAATTAGAAAGAAAAAAAAAAAACCTCTTCAAAATAACTCCCGTGAAACAAACTAAAAACAAGCACAGAATTTTAGAAAGTACTTCTAATGAGGAAAAAATATATATCAGAAATCTGTGGAATATATCTAAAGTAGTGATCATTCCACAGAAATCTGTGGAATATATCTAAAGTAGTGATTTATAGTGTTGAAGGTTTTTCTGATAAGAATAGAAAGAAACAGACTATGAGTTCAACTCAGGCAGTTAGAAAAAGAACAGTTTAACAAGGAGGGAACTCTAAAAAAGTGAATTAGAGATTAATATTAACTGAAAAACTATCTGAATACGTAAGGGTTCAGTGAGGTGTCTGGATATAAAATAAATGAGAAATTAATAGCTTTATTAAATTATACTGCCTGTTGTCTTGGTTAACTGAGAGTTGATTGCATAGATGATTGTTCCTGCTCTGAGCAAGTGTATGCCTTTCTAAGCATAACATGTAAAGTGAAATCATTAAGGAAAATATGGAAAGATTCAAACTGCACAAAAAATAAAACAAGAAAAATGGCTATGTGTAAAAATGACACATAAAACAGGAAATGACAGATGTGAAAAAAAGTACCATATAGAACAAATGATTGCTCTCGAAGTATTTTTCAAATTAATAGGAAAAAGAAGAAAACTTCAACAGAGGAATAGATTATCTGAGAAATGTAAATGAAATTATTATGTGTTACTGATTTGTCCAAGATTTATGAATAGCCGTTAATACTGATACAGTCTTGGGGAAGTGACTCTGGTGTAGGGCAGATAAATAGGTCCAGTCTCTCAGACTTTTAAAGCCTTTAAAAACGTGCAAACCCTAACCCTTGGACCCAGTAATTCTATTCATAGCCATTTATCCTAAGAAAATACCCAGTAGAAAGAAATGGGCAAAAGACAGTTCATAGTAGTTGATGAAAGAATTCTTTTCAGAATATGGTCCCCAAATCACCAGCACTAGGACCATCTGGGAACTTAGAAGAGCAAATTCTTGGGGCCCTGCTCCACTCCTCTTGAATTAACTAGCAATCTGTATATTTATGAGCCCCTCCAGGAGTCTCTGATGAAGTCCAAGTTTGCGCACCCCTGAGTTAGGCTAAACTGCTGTGGCAAGAGACTCCCGACGACCATGGCTTAAATGAGGTAGACATCACATTCTCTCACTTGACAGTCCAGAGATGACCAGCCCAGGCTGGTGGAGGACATCTCTGGGCCATGCATTCCTTGGTGGACCTGGGTTCCTTCTGTCTTGTCGCCTGCCATTCCCTAGGCAGGGTTTGTCCACGGGGAGGGGTGGAAGCTGAGTTCATGGACCCACGGACTCTCCTGCAGGGTGGGTGGGCGGGCGGGGAGGAGCAGCTGAAGAACAATGATGCTTTGAGGCCCAGACCCCTCAATGGCGCACTTTCATTTCCACTTAACATCCTATTGGCTCACATTTAGTCACATGGCCACCCCTGGCTGTAAGAGAGAATGGAAATGTAGCTCCTGCCTGCCAGCCGCATGTCCAGCTATAAAGCCTTCTCGCCATGGAAGAGAGGAAGCATGGTTTAGGGGACCACATCTGCCACAGTGTGCCCCTCTGACATCCAGAGATTTGTGAGACCCTCTTTTCATCATCCCACATGCTCAGTCCCTCCCCAGGTGAGACAACTCTGGGTCCCATCAGCTGAAAGCGCAGGATGTCCAAGTGAGTTGCAGAACACCCCCGTCAGGCTGGCTCCTTACACTCTGGCAGCAAATACACTACTTGACAAGGCTGCCCATCCCGCACGTATACGCAGTGGTGGGGTACTCACAAGGCCATCACAGGGAAGCGTGTTTGGAGGAAAAGAAGGAATAACACAGACAGCAATGTACGGAAGGCATCAGGTCCTGCTGGCAGGGACTGTGAGGCCCACAGCCTGGCTACGGGTAGTGCCAGATCAGCCCACCCGGCCACCCCTTGTTTTCTGCGAGCAGCCTGCTTGTCCACTGTCCTCCAAGGGCCCTGATTTTGCTCTGTGGGAAGGTCCTAGTTGTCCCTCATCCTCATTAGTCACACTGGGGGGGGGGCTCAGAGCTCCTCTGAGGAGCCAACAGTCACAGGTGTTTGTAAGCTGGGCTTGTCACTGGGCAGCACAGTTGTCTCCAGCGTGGTAGACTTCCAGTCAGTTTGCTTCTAATCAGTTCCAAGAGAAGTAATCTCCGAGAGTAATCCTCGAGAAGTAATCCACAAGAAGGAATTCTTCTAGACGGAGACTTCTCATGCTTTTGTTCCTTGGTTTTTGTGCCTGACTCTTTCCTCTCTCTCCCTCAATTTAATGGACTGAGGTCCTAGGAAACAACAGGCTGTGGGAGGGCAGCACCCCTTAATCCGTGTGGTTGGCCTGGCCCCTCTTGTCTGTCTTGATGTGTGGCTTTTGAGAGGGGTTTTAAGTGCCAGTCCCTCCTGCTGTTTGGGACAAAAGACTGTTTTTCTAATCTTGCACGGCCCCACATTTCTGGACTCTTAATCAGTTTGAATTACAGGCCACAGGCACAGCCTCTTGGCGGAGGCCTGTCCCTTCCATCTCTGCCTGTGAACGGGACAATCCTCACTGGAGCCTATCTCGGTCTGGTGGTGTTTACAAAAACTGCAATAGTGGGGCGCCTGGGTGGCGCAGTCGGTTAAGCGTCCGACTTCAGCCAGGTCACGATCTCGCAGTCCGTGAGTTCGAGCCCCGCGTCGGGCTCTGGGCTGATGGCTCAGAGCCTGGAGCCTGTTTCCGATTCTGTGTCTCCCTCTCTCTCTGCCCCTCCCCCGTTCATGCTCTGTCTCTCTCTATCCCAAAAATAAATAAACGTTGAAAAAAAAATTAAAAAAAAAAAAACAAAAAACTGCAATAGCTACCCAGTGTTTACCAACCTTCTGCCTTTTTGTAACTGCTGCTTTATATGCTCCAGGCATTGTAAGCACATGAGTTTGCTTGCAGGTTGTATCAAATATTTTATCAAATATCTACCAATATTTATATTTGTCAAATATCAGATTATCTGCTGAGCCAGTGCCATGTGTTTTGTTTTTGTTACTTCCAAGTTCTTACTTTTTTTTTAATTAAACTTAAAAATTTTTGAGCTTATTTGTTTTGAGAGAGACCTCTGTCTTATGCTCTCTAGTGAACACAAGTGGGGTAAGGGCACAGAGAGAGAGGGGTACAGTTTCTGGAGCGGGCTCCATGCTGATAGCAGAGAACCCAATGAGGGGCTCAAACTCACGAACCGTGAGATCATGACCTGAGCCAAAGTCGGATGCTTAACAGACTGAGCCACCCAGGTGCCCCTTTACTTTTTTTTGTATTAGTTAAGATAGAAGCTAGGCTGCTGCAACAGCTTCAGTGGCTTAAATATGATCAAAGTCTCTCTCAGGTAGGTAGGTAGCAACCTGGAGGTGCGGGGTCCAGCTTGACAGGGCAGCAATTCTCCATAAGTCATTTGGGGACCAGAATTCCTTATGTTTGGTTGCTGGACCATCTTTATGTACAACGTTGCACTAGTGTGCATGGTCCAGGGAACCCCACCAGTGTGCTGTAGTCCGCAGAAGGCGGGGAGAGGGTGGAAGAGGGGTCTCCACTGCCTTAAGGCTGAGATACGGAAGTGCTACAGGCCACTTCTGCTGGTACCCATTGCTTCCAAACTTCCAGGGGAACCTGGAAAACTGTACCAGAAGGAGGGAATGGATTTGAAGAATCCTTAGCAGCCCATCACAGCCAGTAAAAATGAAGTAAAATTCTACTTCCTTAATAACAATATCTAACATTTATTAAGTTTGTATTATGAGAGTGCACCTTATTTAATCCTTAGAATAAATGTATGAGGAAGGTTGTATAAATTCCCATTTTACAGATGAGAAACTGAAGCTTAGAATAAAGTGCCCAGTGTTCAAGTCCAGGTTGTTCTAACATGAGAGCAGGTGCTCTTCACCACAGCACTGTACTGCTGCTCAAGTTGCTCACAGAAAGGCAAGTTAAAACATTGTATTGTAAAGATGACACAGTTTAGTAGTACCCGACATTGTGAGGGCACAGAGAAAAGGTATTCTTGTGCCTTTCCTGGGAGGAAAATTTGGCAGTATATTCCAGCAAGCTCATTAAAGCGCATTGCCCTTGACCCAGCAGTTTTACTTGACCGGTTTTTCCTGGGAAAAAATAATTGGGAACGAAGATGTGTGTTCAAGAATGTCCGCTGCAGTGTTATTTGTCATTGGCAAAGCAAAACAAAACAAAACATTCCTGCCAAGAAATGACCAAAGTGCCCAGCCATGGAGGGTCCATTAATCAATTCTTGATTCTGCTGCAGCTATCAACCAGCATGATTTTCAAGTCTGTCTACCATCTGGGAAAATGTGTGACTTACTAAGTTTAAAAATTACATTACCAAGTAACATATACAGAATGGTACTATTATGATTTTTATATTGGTGTATGTATTTACCTAAAAACGTGGAGGGACAGGGGCACCTGGGTGGCTCAGTCAGTTGAGCAACCGACTTCGGCTCAGGTCATGATCTCACGGTTTGTGAGTTCGAGCCCCATGTCGGGCTCTGTGCTGACAGCTCGGAGCCTGGAGCCTGCTTCAGATTCTGTGTCTCCCTCTCTCTCTGCTCCTCCCCTACTCATGCTCTGTCTCTCTCTGTCTGAGAAATAAATAAACGTTAAAAAAATTAAAAAAAAAACGTGGAAGGACATACAGAAAAATGTTAACAGTAATTTCTGGGTGGTGGGATTGAAGGTGATATGTTTTTCTTTGCTTTTCTGTGCTTTCCAGGTTTCTTAATGTGTTATTTTTGTCCATAATTTTCAAAAAACTGTAAGTGTGTGTGTGTGTGTGTGTGTGTGTGTGTAACAGAGAGAGAGAGAGAGAGAAGAAGGAGGAAGAGGAGGAGGATGAGGAGGAGGAGGAGGAGGGGTAGATGTATAAAAAGACTAGAAAGACATGTACCAAAATGTTAGGATCATTTATTTCAGGGTGGTGAGATTTAAATGTGATTTTTGTTTTATTCTTTGTCTTTTCTCTGTTTTCCAAGTTCTTCTTTTTTTTTTTTACAGTGAATGTGTACTATTTTTTTATTTAAAATAAATGTTACAAAATTTGAAAAACCTGTTCTTTTAGTTTACATTTGTACTTTCTATTCACTCAAAAAAAAGCCCTAAAAATTGTTTTAATCTTTTGTTTTAACAAATCATTGCAGCATGTGATAAGGTTAACTCTCACATGACTCTTCTTTTACCAGTCAGGAACTGGCTGAAAGCGCAGTGGTAGCCAAAGTCAATGGTGAATTATGGGACTTGGACCGTCCATTGGAAGGGGATTCCACTCTAGAGCTGCTTATGTTTGATAATGAGGAAGCCCAAGCTGTAAGTATTTAAAAAGAATCAACTAAACTTTGGATATTGTGAACTATATTATGTACAAAGACACACATTGAAGTCAAGAATGATGAGTTTTGTAACCTTCTAGAACTTAAAATTTCTGTATTGGTGTTTAGTAAGTATTTAGTGAATTTTTGTGGAATCAATACATACAAATAGATATCAGCTTTTAAAGTAGCCCTTATTTATCATTTCTGAAGATAGTTGTGTCCTTATGCTATAATGCTTTAATTATAAAATCAATGTACATTTGACATGAATTTTTAATAGATTCTTAGAAATGGGTCTACTTTATAATATAATATGTGCAGGAGAATTGGGAAAAGTTATCAAAGCTTAGATATCTTTTTATTTATTTTTTTAAGTTTATTTATTTTGAGAGAGAGAGAGAGAGGAGGACAAAGCGGGCTCTGTGCTGACAGCAGAAAGCCCTATGTGGGGCTCAAACTCATGAACCACGAGATCATGACCTGAGCCAAAGAGCCACCCAGGCACCCCTTAGATATCCTTTAAATACTTATTAATGTAATATTCTATAAAATAGATACCACATTTCATGTAGGTCTCTGATATATATTGTTACCTTAGCTTTGCAATTTCTCTTCAGGCAGTGTCCATTATCTGCCTAAAACCTAACCTAAGCTTAGCTTAGGTTCTATTAATCATGACACTTGATTTCTTGATTTGTTAATCCAAACTTATAAGAACCATACTATAATTACTTTCCTGTTTAAAATATGCAAAGCATAACAATTAAGTAGCTAAATAATACAATATTAATAAAATCATGTTGAAAGTGATTCAGAAAGAGCAATTTTTAGGAGAAACACAAAACATATATGTATTATTTAGTTTTTCTTACTAGTTGTTAACAACTGTCGCCTAGCATCATCCCAGATGTCATCCCTAGACTTTACAATTGTATATATTCCCTTAGTCACCTGACCAGCATCGACAGTGCTGGACGCATGTGCCAGACCCTGTAGGGCTGCAGTGGACAGAACATGGAGACTCCTGTTTCAAAGAGTTTACCTCTAGTAGGAGGAGGTATTAAACAAGAAAACAACCAATGAGAGGTTTTCAGATAGTGTCAGTTTCTGGAGAAAGTCAAATAGGGGCTGGAACCAAGAGCAGCCATGATAGTTGGTGGGGCAGTTAGTTTTGATCCTCAACTAAAGGCCCAAATCCTACCCGAAAGCCTTGTGCTTGCCTACACTGGCTGGCTCTTGGTTTGTCTGCAGGTGTTGCTCCTATGACTCTTTAATAATAGCTGGCTATTGAACTTTTTCAATGTGTCAGGCATTGGGGTGTTCGGGGAATGGGAGAACTACCAAATTTAATGTTCCATGGAGGTGTTGGTATCTTTGGAGTCCTTTCCTCCTGGCATTCAGTAACATCATAAAAAAAGAAACATTCTTTATCATGGGAAATCTTTCTAGAGTGCCTAACCAGTGTTTGCTTGCCATGCTCGTAACATGGTATCTGACATCAGATTATAGGGCTTTCATAAATATCTGTGGTTGTTGATGAAAATGATAATAGTAATAAACATTTACCGGAGCCAAGCACTGGCCTGGCCCATTATGCGCACATGTATTATCTCCTTGAGTCCCAAGTTACCCTAGCACACAGGTACTGTTTTAATCCCCGTTTTACAGATGAAGCAACCAGTATCAAAATAGTTAAGTAACATTTCTAAGCTCTTGATGCTTCTTTTCATGTAACTTAGTAACAAATATTTTTTGTTGTTGTTTTTCCTGGAATTTACTTTCCTGTTACTGTGAATATACTAAGATATTGAACATAAACTAATTTATAATATTTAATACATATCCATGAAAAAGAAACCCTATAGGAAACAAATTTTGAAAACTCAGATCTAAAGCAATGATAAATTGGAGTGCCTGGGTGGGTGACTTAGTCAGTTAAGGGTCCAACTCTTGATTTCGGCTCAGGTCATGATCTCAGTGCTCGTGAGATCGAGCCCCACGGTGGGCTCCACATCAAAAGCACAGAGTCTGCTTGGGATTCTCACTCCCTCTCTTTCTGCCCTTCTCCTGCTTATATGCAC